TTTCTCTCTGCAAAGTTTTGATGGCCACTTCGCCCTCATGATATAGCTATCCGAAGACTCATTTTTTAATAATTATTGCTTACTAAATTTGCTATCTGTGATGGGTTTAGTCAGAGTTCTACTTGGCAATTGAGACAATTTTAAAACTAAATGAATATATTTCACTTTTGGAAAACACATACACGGTCAGAGTAGGGATGTAAGCAACTAGTCAAGTAGTTGACTAATTGAGAAGCCTGTATCAGAGACAGAAAGGGCAACAGGTGGGGGAAGCAGGAGCTGATGCTAGGGGGAGCTGGTGTAAAAGTCAGTTCCTCCCAGCACTGTCTCTGCAGTGTGCAGGGTGGGGCAGGGAAGGCAGAGCTGCAGTGGTCCTGGAGTTTGTGCTGCCCCTGGGAGCTGGCCCCACTGCTACTCTGCAGTTGAAATGTAGTAAGAGCCCGATACTAAAATGCAGAGCCACAGCGGCAGTAGTGAGTATCTCCTCCCTCCTCTCCTCCCCCATCAACTAATCGAGTATCTGATGGAAATTCCATTGCCCAACCATAGCCTCTCCTTTCAGACTTACAGGGAAAACAAGTCTATTCCCCGATCATTATCCTGAGTATTATGCCATTAAGTTCCTTGAGTACTATTAATGGCCCTCCCTTAGCAAGACAACATTAATAATACAGGTTTATAGTTCATATTTCTTAACTTCAATTACAGCAATGACACATGAATAGAATTGGGATAGTCCATATTGTAGATTACAAGCTTTCCAATGATATCTTACGTGAGGCATTTTGCACAAAGCATATTCCATTTGTTATATTCATAAGCATATTTTCATAAAGCATATGGAATGCCCCGTAACACTATCCCATCTATATTGATTTAAGATTTGTTTCTTATGCAGATGCAACTTGAGAACATTAGCTTATCAAACTTGGGCAATGTACACTTAATTCAGATTTATATTCATATAGTAAAATGGGAATCTAATTTTTTTTAAAAAGCATAGGCCTTATTGCTGCAAACACATATAAATACTTAAAATGCAAGTTCCCTCTTCTCTTCAGTTGATTCTCATTTCATTGTGTACAACTGTGGTGCCCCACTCCCTTGAGCAAGACTGAAAAGGACCACTGGTGCTAGCAGGGAAGTAATAAAGCAGCCACTTCCTCTCTCTGCAGTGATAGAGCAGGAGAGCTGATTTTGGCTACCTGGGTGCAATGGTACTTAGAAGCCAAAAGTAAGATGAACAGATTAAAAATTCAGAACTTGATGATGATGATCCAGGCCAGAAACCAAAATGATAGGATTGTCCTGTCTATATCAAAACTGTTAGAAAATATGAATAAACACACACAAAAGCAGATGGCCATATACTCTAGGAAGTAGTAAACAATACCCCATCATCTCCTCTTGCCACCAAAAAAAAAAAAATTATCCTTTGTTAAAAGGAGTCTGGCAGAAGTGAAAATTACACGTTGTAAAAAAATGTCTTTATTGTTTTCCTGAGAAGCTATATGCTAAAGAAATGATGAAGCAAGTAATATTAATCAGTAAATATTTTAAGAAGTTACGTGTTTTAATATTCATAGTTCAAGGAAGGCAGAAACCTCAAACGAAAAACTACCTTATATAAAAAATAAATAAATAAAACTAAGGCAAAAAAGCAAAAAATCCCAAACCATCTTTTAAAGAAACAGTGTATTGTGTATATATAGTGTATTTTATAAACTAGTATTTCTCCAAATTCACAGGGAGAATGAAACCTTGAAAGAATATTCTCTAAGGTTGTTTATTTCATAAGCCTGTGCTGTATAATGTTAACAGGTGAGTTTGCCAGAAATGTCCTCTGTAGATCAGAAATAATTTGATACTGTACTACTTTTTAAGTAGAGTGAAAAATTTATGACTGAAATAGAATGGCTTAGAGCTGTTTGAAAAAAGGGACACATTTCATAAACTCTTTTTTGCACACACACACAAAGAAGTTCCCCCTTCCTATTTTGTTTTTAGTTCAAGAGTTTCAAAATTCAATTTTTTTCAACCTAATCTCACAGCCATTGTGACCTGTACATCAGTAGGAGAGAATCTGGGGGGAGGGGAGAGGCTGACTAAGCATGTAATCATATTGGGTCAATGCACTAATGAACATTTTGGGTCCAATGCCTTATTAGCTTTTCTGCAGGAAGAGAAAAGTAGTAAAACGGAAAAAGGGCATTTCAGGGAAGCTTTTTGCCAATACTGTCCTGAGCGTCCATTGTTGAAGGACATCCTTTAAACTAATTTGAGACCCATACAAAATCTATTTGGTGATAAGTAACCAGTGAAGAAGAGCAGAAAGCCAAGTGAATAATGGCCATAAATACCAGACTTCTTGGGATAACAGCCTATAAAACTGTCAAAAAGCATTACTTAAATGACAAAAGGTAGCCACTGGAAACAAGAAGTGTCCCCCCACTAGATACTAACCTATGTTCATGAATGGAAGACCTATTTTCAGTTTCTTCTACAAGGCCAACTTTTCCTGTAAATAATATTCATTTTTGTTTAAAAGCCTCTCTTCCTCCCCGGTGCTCTGGGATTTCTTTAGAACCATTAAAGCAAACTTTAGTTTCCAGAAGTTAATATTCAATATTTATGCTAATCTCTCTTGTGGAGTAAGTGACTACAGAGGGCAGAAGAAACAAAGAATGTGAATGAGCTCATGGTGGCATTAAGAAACATTTACAAGGAAGAGACAGTATGTTAAGAAATCTTATACTCAACAGCTTTTCCCTGTTACTGTAATCAAGATTTCTTAAAATTATTTCATTATATGGTATAATGTTGGTTATAGAAGAGTAATGTTTAATCCCTTAATATGAAAAATGTGATTTGTTAATCCATTTTATTGCTTTAAGTTTGTTCCTGAGACCTGATCGTGTGTAGTCACTTAATGCTGGGAGTAGGATTTGCCATTGCAAGCAGTTCCATTAAAGCCAATGGAACTGCTGGCAGTGGTAAGCATTATGCGCGTAGTGTGGTATTAACTGTTGTTACTTAGTGATAACTTTTATCATCCTTGTATACCTAAAGGTACGTGGCACGTTTTTGTCAGGTTATATACATTTCTAAAATAATAGAAATGAAAATTGATACGTGATTGGGATCAGATTTAAAATGGAATCTTAGAATTTACAGTTAAGTTGATGTAAATTACAATTTCTATTAAAAGTTATAGTAGCTGACAAAAAAATATAAAACATATATGGCAACCTGTTGAAACTAGTTTTTGGCAATTTTGTTGTCAAAAGCAGAAAATGACAGATAAAGGAAAGCCTTAGAGTAACTTGTGAAGCCTTTTGAGGCAAGAGGCTAAAATTAGTTTTGAAAATGTCGATATCTTCGCCATTTATATTCACCATTGTTGCTCTTTATGATGTAGTTTTACATAAAAATAATAAGAAATTGCTTTAGAATAGATCATACTGTGTAGTTAAAAACCTTCATATTAATATTGGTGTGGCTTGTGAAATACTTTTTTTTTTTTTTTTTTAAAAAGGGAAAATAGTATTTTAATACCATTTCATTACTGCATGCTTCTTTCAAGAATTCTTTTATTTTGGGAGGAAGTGAATGTGGGTCTGTATATTTACAAATCTGATCCTGTGAACACTTGTTCATGCTGGAGTATTTCTACTCAAGTTCTGGAAGACCTCTGCATTTAGTTGATTCACTCAAAGTTTGTACATTGGTGGAGGATCAGGACCAATGTTTTTATGTTGATTGTCAAACTGTGGGAACTCTCAATGTCATTCATTGCAGGAGAACGGATGTTACTTTTTTCCCCAAACAACACTGGAAAAAGAGAAATGTTCCGTTGCCCAATTAAGCATCATTTTGATTGTGAGAAAAGGTGGTTAAAGGCTGTAAATCTGCCTTCTCATTATGAAGGGCAACAATAGATTGATTTAGTTACCTTTAATTACCTTGTTTTGTCATAAAAGTACTAAATTTGAATTATCATATTTTCATACTTAATGTTGGAGGGTTTTAGTCTCTCCTTCAGCTTTCTTTGCTGTCTTGTACTTGTTTAGGATACTTGCTTGCTCTTATATTTTTAGGCATTGAGACAAGAAACCATAAGACGTTAGTGCTGAGGAGATCAGGTTGAGATGATTCCAAAATGGTGGTAAATAGACATGAGTACTCAATAGAAGACTTGTAAACCATTATGGCAAAAAGTATAGATTTGAATTGTGATCATGAAACCGATCAGTTCTACAGCAAATGGTATTAGCAATTTATAAAATTAATAGAAAAGTATTTATTTTCTATGGACGTCTGTTGCACGGTATTAAATGCTTCAAGCTGGTTTTAACAATTTTTAGAAAGATGTTATATTTAAATCTATATCTTTAGAAAAATTAAATCTTTTTTTGGTTCATTTCTTAATAAAATCTGTAGGGTGTTTCCATAAGGAAATAGTTATGCTGAGGAGAAACCCAATGGGAGCAGAAAAAGATTTGATTTATATGTAATATATCTCTATGTGGTGAAAAAAATTGTCCTAGGCTTTTTCTATTAGTAATCTAGTTTGCTTTACTGGTGTCCCTTCTGCCTCCTGGAGTCCTAGTCATGATTTATTAAAAAAACATTGCAACTAAATCTGGACAAGCCTGCATTATATTAGATTTATTACATTGTAAATTTATTTAAGTCCATGTGCTGTATAACTTTTCCAATGAGGACACTGGTAACTTATTGTACATAGTATTGGTTTTGTCAAAAAATCTTTGGGGAATATAACCTTTGAGAACAGGGTGTATGTTTTGTGTGCATAGCAATTTGTACACCTTCTGGCTCTGACACCACGAAATGGTCAGGAAATAATTATTGTTGTGAATATCATCCTGTTTACTGTCATTTTTCATTGCAGAGAAGTGCATCAATCAGTAAACTCTGTTCTTTAGTTAAAGTTTAGCGCATATGTATTTACTGTTATGTGTTTGTATTTTTTTTTCAAGTCTGAACAGCCTAGCCCTGCCAGTTCAAGCTCAAGTTCCAGCTCCAGTTTTACACCATCTCAGAACAGCAGACAACAAGGTACCAACAAGGAAAATCGAGAAAAGTGTGAAATGAAGGGGCCAACCAGTAACAAAATTGAGGGCATCTCATTAACACGTTTCTGCTGGGGGGTTTTCAGTGTGAAGTAGTGAATTAATCTCTGTCCTGCTTTATCCATTTTTTCTTATGTGTATGTGATCATGATTAACATTTAAAAAGCTGAATGGAAAAAAGTATATTTTCATTCAGAAGAGGATGGTTATTTATTTTAGTTACATAGCACAAGAAATGTGCGACATAATTTACAGATGCTAGACCCTAAAGATCTCATAGTTCTAATTTTGCAGAAGGATCAGTGCATGTAAATCCTTATTCCTATATGGAACATGACAGGAGTTAATTGGACTTTATGTTCAGGAATAAGGGTCTGTGCTTGTGAATCTCCTGGAATAATCATGAGCTGAGAGTCTAATTCCGTGACTTGCCGAGTCTCTTTGCCATCCTAGCGTTCTCATGGGCACACACAATTTAATATTTTAAGAGTCGCATAGCACTTTTCACGTTATGCTTCCAAAATGATATATTTACTTTTTAAAATGATCTGACATGGAGAACATTATTGTTAGTCTGTAAGGACACATTTAGATTTTCTGGCTAATAATTTTGGCTCTCTCAGAACTCAGTAAAGAAATGTAAGTTTCTGCCAGGAGATCCTGCCAAACCAATTTTTGTATAAATCAATTGAGATTCATAAGAGCTATTAAACAACTTAGTTCCTGTTTGGCTTTTTTCCTGGACTTTGTCAGGTTGTACAACTGATGTATTCTTAATCAGCTTGGCTTTTTTTAAAGCAGGAAGTTTTTGGCTGATTAAAATTGAATTTGCTTCAGTGTATGCATTTATATATTCCTCAGACTTACTTACTTTTTTCCCTTTAAAATGGAATAGATTAGTACTCCAGAGAGAGGATTCTGTTTAAAAGCAAATTTTTAAAAACAAATTTAAGCAGAGTGCATATCTCTCAGATTTTTATGACAGTGACCATTACTGATTGGCTCTGTATTCTGACAGCAATGTTTCCACTGTGTTTATCCCAAGAAAGCAGTGAAAAAAATAAATGGGTGTGAAATCCTGTCTTCAGGCACTTGGCTTTTAACTAAGGCTGTGCAATTGAATCCCACCAGTATACATGAACATCTCAATGGTGATATATGGCTTACCCCATTACCCCAGCAAGAGGTCTGGACATTTGTGTTACCACTTTGATGTCTTTTCAAGATGGGAAACTAGTGGCCTATTGAGTTCATCTTCCCCCTAATGTCTTCAGGAAATAAGAGTGTGACCCCTTCATCTGACTTCATCTGCTTTCTGGGACATTGCACAGATTTTCCAAAGCTGAACCTTTTGCAGAATAGGTAGTAGCCTCCTTGTTTTTTTTTTCCCCTCCATCCAACACAGGTAGGTGGATGGTTCCAGCAATAAGTGCCAATAGATGTGCCTTTGTTCTGGGAATGTTCAGTTAAATGAATGCATCTTTCATTGTGTAAATTTGTGTGTATTAGTGATAGAGGATGGGATATGGTGTAGCAGTCTGTTCTGTGCCTCTGGAAATGCCAAAGGTGGGTGTATGTCTGTGTGTCTGGTGTGGGAGAGTTTTCTACATAGAGGGGGGAGTAAATCAGCTGACTTTGCTGTGAAAGGCCAGAGAGAGGACTATCTAATTTATCCCAGAAGACAACAGGAGGAGTAATGGATAAGATGCCCTTATGCTGCACATATTTGGGTACACGTAGTTACTTGTACAAAGAAGATCACACTTCAGTGTAAAGGGGCAGTTTGTGCTCATTAAGGAAGTGGACTGTGAGGGAAAGGTGAGAAGAACTCACTGGTTTCATTTTTTGCTTCACTTTGGGTTCAAACAAGCACACAACTCTAAAAAGGACAGGGTCAAAGGAAGGGCAAGATGTTCAGACTGGCCTACAATCCTCTGCCAAAACAAGAGATAATTATTGTACCTCCAAGCACTTTAACTGGTAATTATTGGTTTTTAATTATGCATTGTGTGTGAAATTAAGTATTTGTACATTATATCAGTTTTTAAACTACTGTTGTACCTCTTATTTTTGTTCTTCCTCTTTGTTACCTTCCTCCTTCTCATGGATTCCAAGATCACAAGGGACTATTGTGATAAGCTAGTCGAACCTGCACATTTCATGTCACAGAATCTTACTCGGCCACTTCTGAAATAGACTCCTAATCTCTGAGTTATTAAAGTCATAGAATAATAAGGTTGAAAGTGATTTTGGGAGGTCATCCAGTCCAACCCTCTGCTAAAAGCAGGACCAATCCCAACCAAATCATCCCAGCCAAGGCTTTGTCAAGACACGACTTAGAGGTTTTTAAGGATGGCAATTCCACTATCTCCCTATGGTAACCCATTTCAGTGCTTCACTCCCCTCCTAGTGAAATAGTTTTTCCTAATATCCAACCTAGACCTCCCCCGCTGCAACTTGAGACCATTGCTCCTTGTTCTGTCATAAATGAGAACAGCCTCTCTGAATCTCATTTAGAACCTCTCTTCAGGTAGTTGAAAGCTGCTATTAAATCCCCCCCACTCTTCTCTTCTGTAGACTATATAAGCCCAAATCTCTCAGCCTTTCCTCATAAGTCATGTGCGCCAGCCCCCTAAACATTTTGGTTGCCCTAGTCTGGACCTTCTCCAGTGCGTCCACATTGTTTCTGTGATGGGGGTCCAGATGTGACCTCACCAGAGCCAAATAAAGGGGAATAATCACTTCTGTAGAACTGCTGGCAATGCTCCTCCTAATGCACCCTAATATGCCATTAGGCTTCTTGGCTACAAGGGCATACTGTTGACTCATATCCAACTTCTTATCCACTATAATCTCAACTGCTGCTTAGCCAGTTGGTCCCCAGCCTGTAACAGTGGTTGGGATTCTTCTGTTCCAAGTGCAGGACTCTGCACTTGTCCTTGTTGAACTTCATCAGATTTCTTTTGGTCCAATTCTCCAGTTTGTTTAGGTCATTCTGGACCCTATCCCTACCCTCCAGAGTTATCTGCCTCTCCCCCTAGCTTTTAGTGCCATCTGCAAGTTTGTTGCAGGTACAATCCGTCCCCTCATGCAGCTCATTGAAGAGGTTGAACAAAATCGGTCCCATATCTGACTTTTTTGGGGCACTCCACTTGATACCTATCAAATCATGATTTAGAGACTTCATGTTACAGAGAATTCATTATCTATACTAGCTTAAACCTGCAAGTGCCTCATGTCCCGTGGTGCAGAAGAGGGTGAAAACTTCCCAGGAGAATGGCCAAGCTGAACTAGAGAAATTGTGCTGATCATTTAGACCCTGAGCATGTGTGCAAGGTCTAGCAGACAGAAAGATGTCTATGTGATAACTCAGAGCCCTCCCCATCTGAAGTACCTCCAGACATTGGGGATTTTTTCTACTGACTGTCACCAATTGGACTTGTGCCATCACATCATCCCCTCCATAAATTCAAGCTCAGTCTAGAAGCCAGTTAGAATTTTGCCCTGATAACCTTCCAGCAGGAGCTAATCTAGACCTTCACCCCTCTGATGGCTAGAAACCTTTGCCTAATTTTAAGCCTAAATTGTTGATGGCCAGTTTATATCCAATAGTAATAGAGAGGTAGCCATGTTAGTCTGATCTTGCTAAAACAAAAGGAAAACTATGTAGCACTTAGTGCTACATAGTTTATATCCATCAATTCTTGTGTCCATATTGGCTCTTAACTTGAATAACTCCTTTTCTTCCCTGGTATTTCTCTCTTTGATATATTTATAGAGAGCAATCTCCCCTGCTCTCAGATTTCTTCTGGTTAAACTAAACAAGCCAAGCTCTTCTAGTCTCTTCTTATGAGGTAGGTTTTCCATTACTCAGATCATCCTAGTAGCCCTTTTGCACCTGTTCCCATTTGAATTCATCTTTCTTAAACATGGGAGACCATCAATGCATGCAGTATTCCAAATGAGGTCTCACCAGTGCCTTGTATAATTGTACTAATACTTATCTCTGTCTACTGGAAATTCCTCATCTGAGGCATCCTGGGAATACATTAGCCTTTTTTTACAGCTACATCACATTCGTGGCTCATAATCATCCTGTGATCCACCAATACAACTAAGTCTTTCATCTCTTCCTGTAGCTGCCAAATGATTGATGTCCAATTTAAAGCAAAAATTCTTGCTGTCAGTCTCTTAGGATACGTTTAATAACTAGCATTATTTCAAAATAACTTAGTCCGCGTCTACAGAGCAGGCAGTTATTTCAAAATAATGTTGAAATACTATCAAGCTGGAGGACTTTTTACTCTGACTCCTGTAACTCTCATTGTATGAGTAAGGGAAGTTGGAGGAAGAGTGCTCTATTTCGAAATAAGTGCTGTGTAGATACTTCCAATTTAGAAAAAAGCCATTTTGAAATAAGCCACACAATTGATGTAGTTGAATTTGCATAGCTTATTTTTAGTTAAGCCCTGTTTTGTAGACACGTCCTAAGTGACCTTGCACTATTCAATTTCATCCCATTTACTCCAGTTTACAAGGTCATACAAGATCTTTCTGTACGATATTCTGATCCTTTTTCATATTGGCTATACCTCCCAGCTTAGTAGTGTCGACAAATTGTATTCGAACACAATTGCTTTTTGTGCCAATGTTAGTAATAAATATGTTAAGTAAGATTATCCCAAGAACAGTCTATGAGGACCACTAGTAATTGCCCTCCTACCTGACAGGTCACATTTTAGTATGGCCTATTGTAGTGTCCTCTTTAACCAGTTTCTCATCCACCTTTCCACAACTTCCATCCTATATGTGTCTATTTTTGCTTCATTTTGAATGTTGATAATTCCCTTTTTTCTCTCTTCCTCTATCTCTTGACCAGTCTTTTGTTCTGTTTTTCTTCTTCCTCCCCTTAATCTCTCCGTCCTTCTCTCACTCTTCAAATGCAGCTTCTTTCTCCTTAATTCCCCCTTTTTAGCTCTTTAACTTATTTCCTTCTGCTGTCCTGCTCCTCTCCTATTCATTCCCCATGCAGAACGACAGGTAACAAGGTAGTTGGCCAACAACAATCTTTTCTGGCAGACTAGAACTGATAATCTGTCTCTCTTCCTTGGGGTGGTCCTGCAGGTGACCTTCTTCCGCAATTCACCACTGTCCTCCCCATACATTTATTAGAAGCCAGGGGCGGTAATCTCGTGATTTGGAGCCTTGGCTCAGTGCTGGACTCAGCAATATCTGAGCTGGCAGACTGTTGCTATAAGAATTGCCTGCCGCATGGCCTGTGCACATATCTGTTGAATGAAGCATATGCCCGTCAGCTCCATGTTATGGGCCTACCTCCAAGCAGACCTTAGGGTGTGCAAATACAGAACAGAACCCATTGAACTGAATTGGTCCAAACCATGGCAACTTAAACAGCTCTTGCACAGTCTATCTTGTAAGCCATTTTAAATATAGATCTTTAAAGACTAACTGTTAACACTGGACTAAGTCACTCGGTATGTATCTGGTGTGATTCCTCTCAGAACTGAAATAATTTACATCACAGTCCCCTATCTAGGTGAAATATACTCTTATTGTTAAAGCATAGCCTCAAAACTGATTTCGCTTGAACTACCTTACCAGAGTACTGTGAGGCTTAATTGGTGAACCATAGCACAGTACTCGGAGATGCTTGTGTTGAAGGAACTATAAAACTGTAATAGGAATCCAGTATTACCAGTAAAATGTAGTAATTAACTTCTGCCATTGCTACCTCTGTCCTTCCTGGCTGCTTTGTATGTTCTCAAATAAGGTGTGCTCTAGAATCAAACTCTCTGGCCTAATTCACTTCATTCAGTCTCCCAAGCTGACTCTTGCCCATGCTCCTTTTAAGCAGCTGTCCTGGTTTTGTATTATGCACATATGTTACACATGCAACATTGCATAATGACTTTTTATAGCAAAATAAATAAAAAGTACAATGAAAGAACTAAATCCTGAGTTAATTTTTGTAGAGTTACAGGAGAACCAGGCTGAGCACCTGACATTACTTCAAGCAAAAAGATAGGAGAGTGTTATATGGCATGAACGTTAGCAAAGTGCTTGCTTGATCTGAAATTGACCTTGAAATGAACAGAACAGCTTTATCTGAATAGATAAAAAACAGGCCGCTAAAAACTGCCTTCATCAGAACAAGTTACAATCAGAATGATTTATTAAGTGGAATAACCTAACAAATGTACTATTACCAATATGTCCCTATAGAACTTTATTGATCTAAAATACCCTTTGAGAAAGAGGGAAGGGAGGAAGCCTAGCAGTTTGTCTGTATCTCATTTATAATGATGAAAAAAATAGAACACACATTTTATTTTCTGCAATTTAAATGTGCAGTGAAGAATATTTGGTGTGAAAATATTTTGCTTCAGCTGCATTTCAAGGAGCCAGTCCTGTAATTCACTAAGAGACAGGTGTAACTTTACTGTTACAAGTAAGTTCATTGAAGTCAACAGGGCTGCTCACGCGAGTAAATGATTCATGTGCAAGTGTTGGCAACATAAGCCTCCAGTGCGTTTCTTCATTTGTTTAATGCTTCAAAGTCTTTCCCTCACCTTTAATACTTAGAATAATAGACCGGTGTGTTTGTGTTTGGTACATTGCAAAGTGAATTTGAATTCAAACAGTTGATTTGTGTCTGGTTTTTTTTCCTGTTGGTCAGGTCCCTTGAGGTCTATAATGAAAGATCTGCATTCTGATGATAATGAAGATGAATCAGATGAAGCAGATGAAAATGACTCTGAAATAGAGAGACCTGTAAATACTCGAGGAGGAAGCAGAGGTCGCCGGTGGGTATCTTGTAATAGCAAACAACTTGAAGCCTGAGGTAGTATGATAACAGTAATTATGACAGATTAATAGTTTAAAAAGCTGAAATAGCGTAAGTCCAACAGACAGCAAGGCATTATATTTAGTTTCTACAAAGAATATGTATTTGCAGGCCCACTTTTAAACTATCAGATCAGATGCATGCATATGGGAGCTGCTTCTGCACAAAACCGTTTGGTCCATTTGCATTGGATTCTCCACTAACTTTCACTGGCTATGCACTGCTGTGATTGTATCAAGTTATTATTGCTTCACATTGGCATAAATGAGACCAGAATCTGGTTCTCTGTGTATAAGTTAACCTATGAATCTTGTGAATGACATATTTAGTGTCAGGACTTATAACTTTAGAGGAAATCATTTAAGTAATTTACAGTGTCCAGTGCATAAGAAATGTATTGCAAGCTCTAGTTGCAAATGTTACAGAAATGTGGAGGTTTCTGCCCTGATTTTTTATTTTCAAATTTCAATCCATCTCCTAGAGCAAGAAACATCTATCTTTACAATGTTTACAGTTTGTAAGTTACGGGGAAACAGACTTTTGCAGTACTATTGTACAGTAATTCATAGTACCTCTTCCCTTTGACTTTTGAATCTTATGATGTGGTATAGGATAAAAGGACACAGATAGGAAGGAGCCCAAAAAAAGTTAATTATATTGGTAGTTGCCATGTTTGTCGGTGTATTATACCAGTAAGTTCTGATAATTGACATTGAAAAAGAAAAGCTAACAATCTTCAAACTCCCACAGTGTTCATGTATGTTACTGTGTTACACTAATTATTGGAGTGGAAATATGCCTTGTCAGTCAGAAAAAAAGAATGTAATACAATTACTTTATGATGAATTTATTGCAGATGTCTTAAGTTAATTACTTTTAGTGGAGCACTTATATAATCAGAAAATCTGCAAGCTTGGAAGATTACGGAAGGAAGAAAGAGTAGCGCTGGTGAATTCTCATTTTGTTCTTTAAAATGTTGTAAGAATTTTTTTTTCCTACCCACAATTTGCAAGGGATTCTGTAATTTGGATACCTGCTACATTGAGATTGTTTATTAGTGAAAGCTATTGACTAAACACCATAGCACTTGAGTCTTCCAGGTGAAGTATCTATGGGAGGTCAGCTGCTCCAGGCGGGTGACTTCTGCTTGGGTGCCTGCCATTTACTGACAGCACAACTACACTTTCAAAATTCTGATAGCTAATCACAGCTGCTTTAGCAAAGAACATTCTCAGTGTCCCACTTACAACTGTGATCTAGAAGTGGCAATGCAGCTTTTGTTTTATATCTGATTTCTCTCTCTCTCTTTCCTCAGGGTTAGTCTAAGCGATGGTAGTGACAGTGACAGCAGTTCAGCTTCCTCACCGCTACATCATGAACCTCCACCGCCTTTATTAAAAACCAACAATAATCAGGTACCGTAAGGTTCCCTACTTACAAGAGTGGTGTATCTGTACTAACACCTTTCGGGCTAGTTTCGTGTTCTTGATTGCTTTAATTTACAGACTAAGTAATTAATTTTCATTTCCCCTGATCTTGAATATACTTGTCTGAAACAATATTCACTGTAAAGCAGATGAGCAATGTATTAGGCTGTATTCTAAGGAAAACATCACTGTAGTATATATAGGATCATACTGTTGTAAAGGTAAACTTGTTATGACCTGGCTTTACAATTGCAATCCTACTCTCCCTGTGACTTTTGTTATAGGAATATAATACACAGGATTTTTTTTTTCATTTGGTCTCATCTCAAAATTGTAATCAACCATGTTGAATAAACATTTTGTTATATTTATAGTAAATAATGATCAGCATTGTAGAAATGTGGTAATCTTTATAACACTATTCAATAGCATTATCCCCTTTATCAGATGTAGAAACTCAAAGGCTACGTCTAAACTGGCAGCTTCTTGCACAAGAACTGTTTTGCGGAAGAGTTCTTGCGCAAAAAGTCTTACACGAGCGCGTCTACACTGGCATGTGCTTTTGTGCAAGCAGTGTGCTTTTGCACAAGAGCGTCTATGGCAGTTTGGATGCTCTCTTGTGCAAGAAAGCTCTGATGGCCATGTTAGCCATAGGAGTTTCTTGCGCAAGAAACCCTTGTTGCCCGTCCACACTACCTTCTTGCACAAGAGGGCTTATTCCTCATGGAGAGAGGAATAACTATTCCAGAAGGAGCCCTGTTTTCCGATGCTAGACTGTAAATTTAATTGTGCAAGAACACACCTGCAGTGTAGACATCCAGCAAGTTTTTGTGCAAGAACAGCTGTTCTTGTGCAAGAAGCTGCCAGTGTAGACATAGCCAAAGAGAATTTAACTGACCTAAATATGCACAATGAGTCAGTAGCCAATAGGGATTAAACTCCTGTTGAATCAGTTAACTGATTAAATGTTAGGTTTAACCAGTTAACGGATTAAGCAGGATCCAGTTACCTGGTAAGCATCACCTGCCTGGGAACAGTGATGCTTGCCAGTTACCTATTGACATGCCTAGTAGCAAACAAGGGTTAGAACTCAGCAGGTCCTCGTATCTAATATGTTAGATCACAACATCTTTCTTAATTAATGGTGTTTTTGTAACACAAAAGCATACTACAGTATATGTATTTGCTCTTATCTTTAAAGCAATTGACATTCACAGTGCATAAAATACAGTGAAAGCTTTGTTATCTGACACTCATGGGAAATATGGGTTGATGGTTAACTGAATATGGTGGATAACAAAGGCTATTGCTCTGTCCCGCCCCTTACTGGCAGAACTGGCTCCTAGCAGCTCAAGGTAGGCTGAGGGGGGAGGAGACAGCAGCAGTGCTAGCTGTCAGAAGCCCCGCAACAGTTGTCTGGACAGGCAGGTGTCAGGCATGGGCGTCTGAAGACACAGCTGTGTTGTGGCCGGTTAACAAAGGTTTCCTGTTAACAGAGAGCTTGATAACAGATTTCACAGTACATAACTTAAGTCGTTTATATACAGGCAGTCCCCGACTTACGCGGATCCGACTTATGTCGGACCCGCACTTACGAACGGGGCTTTCTCACCCCGGAGCTCACAGGCAGCGGTCAGCCACCTCGAGCTCCGGGGCGAGAAAAGCTGCTCCCGGTGCCCCTGGTCTGCTGGGGACCGTCTCCAGCAGACCAGGGACACTGCGAGCGAACCCGCAGCAGCGGGGGGTCCTGCGCTTCTGAGGCTTTGCTCTGGCAAAGCCTCAGAAGCGCGGGGACCCCGCCGCGGCTGCGGGGTTGCTCCTGGGGCCCCTGGGCTGCTGGGGACCGTCTCCAGCAAACGAGGGGCACCGGGAGCAAAGCGGTCTGGCCAGAGCAAAGCCTCAGAGGCGAGGCATCCCCCGCTGCCGCTTTGCTCCCTATGTCCCTGGTCTGCTGGAGGGGGTGCAGCTAGTGTGCCCCCCCAGCAGACCAGGCTTTTGTTGTGGACCCTGGGGCAGAGCAGCTGGGGCGCTGCCGGTTGGTCCTGCAGCGCCGCTCTGGGCACTACTGGACCAACCCGGCAGCACCCCAAC